AAGTAATAAAAAACATTAAAGCATTGTGATAAATGTTAAGTAAAAACTCTCTTACTGTAGTACATTACATGTTAAGATATATCTGATTTATATGGCTGTATGTGATACCTTAAAAGTTAAAAAAAAAACTAAGTAATGGGNTATGGCTGTATGTGATACCTTAAAAGTTAAAAAAAAAACTAAGTAATGGTCATCATTTACGTGATGCAACTAAATAACCTTTTCTAAAAACTATGCTATATTCGTTGTTAAATAAATGCGTTTAATTTATAGCAAAGTGAAACTAATACACATACATTATAAAATGTATGTAAGACATTTAGACATTTTAAAGAATAAAAGCTTTAGTTATTATTCTATAATTACTGCAATTTTCTATAATTCTACTATTACAATAATAACAGGAATAAAATTATAACAATTTCATGAAATTTATATGTAGTTTCTTCTTTAAATACGGAATGTTATTTATATTAATATTTAATCAATTAAACAAAAAAACAATATAAAAATTGTTTGTACAGGCTGTCTCCACATGGTTTACTAATTTGACTTTATAAACTAATGTTAAAATTAATAAATCACAATGAAAAAATTAATAAATATCATTAATACAAAAATACTTACTTAAAATAGGTAAGAATACTAATTGATAAAAGCAATGCTATGAATGACACTAAATATCCAAACTGGTAGATGTTATTGACATGTTGTGTCCACTGTAAAAAAATAATTATAACAATTATGATAAATATTTTGAAATTATTACTTTAATTTTTTTTGCTCACCGATAATTTTTACTTTGAAAACTCGAATGAACAAAAAAAGAATGATTATCACGAATAAAAATTCAAACATTGCAAATGATTTCGGATGTGAATGGAGAAGTATATAAAACTGGGTTATGCTACTGAGTTAAAATATTTAAGTTCAGTATTCAATATTCCAGTGGCTTTAAATAGTTTACGTAACAAAATAAAAATTCATAAGCAATGATGAAATTGTATTAGACCAATATTTATTTTTTTTCAAAAAATAATATATTTAATTAAATATTATTTGGTGTCCAAGTTCACAAAATTGTTTCAACAAGGCGTAAAAAGTTTTAAATTTAAATTTAAAAACAAATAAATAATAAATTCAAGTGCATATCAAAGATATTAATTTGAATTTCATAAAAATAAAAATATTATTGCGTGAAATTCGAGTTCTTTAGTTTATAAGCTATTATTCATAACATTTTGCATTTTATCTCCGAATGTGTAGCTCTGAGTCGTTCGCCGATGTACATTGCACCATCTTATGTTCTCACTTCATTATAGTTTTATGCTGATTTTTGACATATAGTCGTTTTTAAGTTAATCAATTCACGTGAATCTTTGTAAGTAATGTAGTTATATCGTCCTACACTTCACCTGCACCTCTGTGCATATAGTCAATCGCTTACACTTTAATATGTAAAGAATCTATCTTAGTTATACTGTATGTTTCCATGCAAATATTGTGCCATAGAGAAAGTTTGTACGTGTGTGTTGGTCAATTCATATCTGCATACACAGGCACACCAAAAAAACAAAGTTGTTTCTGCGTGCCTGTGTTACCAATTTTATAATGTTTTTCACAAATTTCTATACAAAAAATCGATTACATAGTCTAATACAATTTATATTTTATTTTTAAATATAGAAATAACATTAATACATTTTCGGATAAAAATAAATAAGTTTGTTTTAATAAAATTTATCTTCATTATTTAATTAGTGACCATCTTAAATTTATCACAAACATTTTTCTTTACCTATTTTCTAAGTGTGA